TGCTGTCAGGGTGTGAAGGACTGACAGCCTGTAAAGATAAAGATATTTATATTTTTGTATAGTTGTTTTCATAGATTTCTCAAAGGCTGATGTTTTCAACCTAGAAGATGAGATTTGTATTGAGTATAGAAATGATGTTTCCTATCTAGTTTGTAAATAATCATGGTGCACTTGAGGGGTCTCTTGGAAACTCCTGGGGGCAAGAATCACTATTCTGAAAATGTATAGACTGAGACTTAGCTGCTGCATTTTGCCTTTCTTAAATAATTATATTTTGGAATGTAACCCCTTTCTGTCTTCAGTGACAGAATTTGCTTGTGTTGTGAAACAGTAACACAAGAGCTTCCAGTGCCTAGGCTGTGCCTAGGTGATACCATTTCTTTTACATCCCCTGTCTTCTTTACCCCAAACGCTACTCAGCATATCTTCAAAACTAGGTTGTGAGACCAACTTTGGAGTAGTTGTAGCTCGTGAATTACTACTTTCATGGTTGGTTCTCTTTCTAGTAATTCTGGTAATCAGCAGATTGAAAAGGGTGGAAAAACTTCTGTAAATTGCAGTGGGAGCAAGTTCTTTGTTGGTTTATTGCTACTTGCCTTTCTAGACCTGCTCATCAGCATTCAACCTTCCTTCCTTCCTTCTAAGGATAAGGTTACTGAAGAAGCTTGAAGTAGGTGAAGAGTGCCCTCAATGGTAAAGAGTGCCCCTCCCCACTCCTCTTTATCCAGCAGATTTCATTCAATGCCTTAGCCAAGGAGTCCACACCTGTCTTCCCTGCTAATAATTGTCATTGGAGATGCTAGTACTTAATCCGGGTATAATAGTTTCCCATTATTTCCTTGCTTGTCTTGTCCTCACATTTCCTCCTGACTTCCCAAGGCTCTTGTACTAGCTTTTGAAGGTCAGCTAAGGAGCAGACAAGTGAGTGAATAATACTCAGGAAAAGAAGGACCATTCTGCTTCTGAACACTGTTCCCTTTTTTAGAAGAAAGTAGACAAACAGGTTATAATAATCACTTCTTGAGGGGTGGGTAGGTGATTCTGTTCATGAGAGATGCACAGTTACGGAATTAAGATGATTCCAACTGTTTGAGGAAGTTCGGAAATGTCATTACAAAACCCCCAAGATAATGGTGTTTGCAAGACCTTTTAGAACTAGAAAGTCATCAGGGCTGATTTGAGGAGGGTTCAGTCTTCAGAACAGACCTGCAGTCTTGACAGAAATCTAAAATCTCCAAAATGCCTACCCTTTAACCTTACCCCAAGAGAAACTAATCTATGAAAATTACATATGTGATTATGAAAGATGTAGTAGAGTGAGAGGAGTTGAGGCATCTAGAGGATAGCGAGCCCTCACCCTAACTCTATATAAAAGCATGATCTCAGTAGACCAATATTTCGCCTTTTTATACATCTGTAAATAAATGGAATGTTTTTAAGAATATAATTATGTCAGATTTAGCTTTTTCTTTTATATATTAAATATATATCTTTCCTTTTCTGCTTTTGAAAAAATGACTATTTTTTTAGAAACCTCAGAAGTTCGGTGATTGAAAGGCAGAATGTTATAAACTTGAAATAAATAAATCAGTTATATTACTTAAAGCAGGACTTGGTGTTGGGAGGTTTGTGCCGAGCTGGAGTAGAGAATTCTAATGCCCTGAGGCATATTTGAGAGAGGTGCCACTAAAGTAGTTTTATCGTAGGAATTTCTTAATGATTCCACAGCTTCTGACAATACTATTTAGGAGAGGTTTTTGGTGTTCTAATCCTTGTAGAGTATTTTATATGGAGATTTCAAAAGTTTGTACAGAAGTATTTGTCTCAAGAACCTGTTCTGTGATGAAGAAAGGCTAGCCTCATAGTACTAATGTGTGCAAGGCATTACCCCTGTTACCCTGTGCAATAGAGAATATAAACAGTTTTAGTGGCTAAGGACAGTGAGGCTTTGTACAAGATATATATTAGCTAGTATAATTTACAAAAAGATTAAAGGAGTTCTTTAGACATTGAATTACTCTTCTGTCATAAACAGATCAAGTCCAATTTATAAATGTCATATGAATTACTTACATGTTTTGAACACAGGAGAAAGACAATCCATCTTATTTTGGGTAGTGGATAATAATTGGGATTTCCCCCCTAATTATACTGGTTGGACTATTGAAGTGGAATGGTATCAACTAAACTTGAGTGGTCAAAGCACTTTGAAAACAGGTCTAAAATATAACTTTCTTGTTCCTCCCAGAAAATTTAAGGGGGAAAAATATAGCACATTTTAAGGTACTACTATAGAGAATGATAACCAAGAATCAATACAGTTCTCACATGAAATTATTTTGAAGTGTAGGGGCATCAATCGTATTATCTAATGAAAGTTTATGTGAACGTGAATGGCTGGATGTAGAGAAGAATAAAGCTGAGTGATTCAGATCATTGCCATTTGGAGCAAAACAGCAGTCAAAATGCATTTTGAAAAATAAAGGGAAAGAATTTGATTATATACAACTTTTGAACAGAGGTATAGATTATATATGACAACTGCTCTACAAAGTGTTGAATAATAGTGATGGAGGTATGTGGAGAATAAGAATACCAAACCATGGGATAAATTGGGAATTTTGAGACAAATCTAAGCTTACTAAATTATTTACTGCAAATTCTACTGTTAGAAGAGATGGGAGAGCAGTCTAGGAAGCATTGTTTTGAGATCCATCCTGCGTCCAGCTGCAAGCTTTGGTCTTAGCTGTCCCATAGTGCCTTGCATGTAAAGGTGCTCAATAAATAATTTGAATTGATGAGCAAGTGCTTACTTTAGCTTGTTCCAGAGTCTTATCATTGCACCTATTTGCACGTTAAGCCTAGGGTGAATTTTTAAAATCTGATGAGTGTAGTGCTAAGCAGATAATTGTATACATCTATTCTAGATATCTAGAATTTTAGGGTCTGACAGCCATGTATACATGTTCAGGACATACACATGAAGAATAAAAAGTGAAATAGTACAGGATGAAATACTTAGATGAAAGTTAACTGCATTTTGAAGGGTGGGATAGCAAATGTTAGGAGAAAAGGGAGGTAACACTTCTATTCACACTGGGCATGGACTGTTTTCTGGGGAATCCAAGAAGCGTGGAAATAGTCCACAGTCTTCCCTTATTGGCATTCCAACAGTTGCATGATGCCTAGGTAGTAAAGGTGAGACTAAAATTAAAGAATTTAAAATATTTTGGTTTTGACCCTAGAATGGAAATAACCAGATTCCAGAATTAAGGAAAATAATAATTTCCCCCTAAATCTTAAAACAATGAAAGCAGGAGCTTGGATTGGTTCGCCAACTTTAGCTTCACATAAAACTCATTTGAGAAACATGCACCCTTTGATAGGATAAACTGTCCAAGGTAGTTTTGGACAGGAAATGACCAATGACACTTTGTAAGCCCATTTTTACCAGGCTTTGAGTGGTTAGGTGAGTGGGAAAACCATTAGTGGACTCACAAATCTGGAAATGGTACTTGGCTGGGGAATGCAGCACACCAGTAAGAACACCAGGTGGCACTATGGATTATGTAGCAGTATTGACTCCTCCCATAGAAAGGTAAAACTGAAGACTAGGGAGGAACAGACTTCCCTTTTTTACGCTATTATGGCTAAAGACAACTCCTTCCACCAGATTTAGGATTTAAATGTGAAAAACCCATTTTATATTTCATTACCTCTCCACACGTGCAGGGAAGGAAACTGCTAACCTCTAGTAACTTATTGCCATTTGCTTTTCTAGGAGGTTACTTCCCTTTGTGTCACCTTGTGAGCTTTACAGATCTTGTTTTTTTTTTTTTTTTTTTTTTTAAATATGTGGCTCCAACTCAAATGTGTACCATACTGTTTTGCCATTTGTCCAAGGCCCACCACTGCATGTGGACGGGGGAGACATATGTCAGTGTATTACTTCTCTGGGGCCCAACTCTTTCGACTGAGGCCACTCTTTTCATAAGGTAATTTCTTGAACTAGCAAGAAAATAAACTCAGGCTGAAACACCTATATACATAAAGGTATTTCTGTGCTGTGTCTTTTCCCTCTCCTCACCCCCTCAGTAAAACTACACTAACTTCAGTGTCCAAGCTTAACAGTGACCTCGCCAAGTTAACAGTACTAGGAAAAGATTTCATAACTAAATTCTGACAGGGACCAGGAAAAGATTGAAGCAAAAACATCCTGGTTAACTGGGTGAAAAAAGCAAGAGCGCGCTGGGAAATTGGAGGCTTAAAAAAAAAAAAAAGTGAAACAATTACATTACGTAGTCACATTACTTGTTTTCTTTTACCCCTCTATGCTTAAGGCCATTTTCAAGACCATGGCTTCCCCCTTTCCCCCCATAGCCAGTCGGGTTTCCCTGTTCAAAACACGTCTTAGCGATCGAAAGTGATTCAGAAGTCATTTCCACGAGCTGGTCGCGAGCAGAAAGTGTTCTAATCTCATTAAATCCCTGCGCTTTCTGGTGCGTGGAAGCAGAGCCTTAGGGCTGTTACTCAGGCTTGTAATTCTGACCTAGTTTCAGCTGGGTCCTTGGGCCTACGGAATGCCAGCCGTAGCACCCTAGGGGCGTGGTTGCCGACTTGTCGGGGGTCTGGGAAGTGCAGTTCTCTTGGGGGGCCAGACCTGGTAATACCATAAAAGGCTTGGTTCTCGGAATTTAAAGGCCATGTTCTGCTGAGCCCCTTCTAGGAGCGGTACCCGAGACCACAGTGTGCAGTGTCGGAGGTTCTGGAGCCCCGAGTACACGCTTCCTAGGCCCTCTCATTGGCCCCGCCCCCGTAGGCCTTCCTCCTCCATTTGAAACGCCCTCCTGGGCGCAGGCCACACCCTCCGCCTCTGGGCTCCGCCCACCCCATCGTAGCTTGGCTCAGGCGGTAGTTCGCGTTTTGAGCCGCTGGTGCCGCCATAGCTGCTGCTGCTGCTGCTGCCGCTGCTGCCTTGCGGCCGCGGAGCAAAAATCGCTGAGCGCGATGCCTGAGGGCGCCGTGAGCCGGGCTGCCCCCGAGCCCTGGGACTGGTGAGGCTGGGGTCCGAGCGGGGGCGCTGGCGCGTCGCAGGGATTTCTGACGGAGGGGGAAGAGAAAGGTCCAAGGCTCTAGTGGAGGGCCGGGAGCGAGCTCCAGAGGGACGGGGGTGGGGGCGGGGGTGGGGGAGGAAGGTCCCCGTGGCCAACCGGGTTTCCCGGTCACAGCGAGCTCTGACGCGCCGAGTGCCCCCACGGCTGCCAGCGCAGGTGACCAGACCCCCGAGGGACTCCTGTGACCTCGGTGGCCACTTTCCTAGGACTCTGCAGTTGCCATGGGAACAGTTAGGAATTAACGGGGATCTGTATAAGCCTCTAGCCCTGCTAGGTAGGGCCCATCCCAGTCTCTCCAGTTAAACGCCTCTGGTTGGCGTGGGCCTTGCGTTTCTTCGCAGCTCAGTCTCCCCCGCCTCCCCCTACTTTCATGGGTCTGGTCTTGCGACATTGTAGAAACACAGGATTTGAAAGCTGGGATGAGGAGAGAGGGCAATGTCTAGAGAGAGCTGCAGACATGCTAGGTACAAGGCAAGGTGGCTTCTGCATCTCAGGTCAGTGAGAGAGCTTACTGGAAGACCCTGTGCAGTGGGAAGGGAGTGCCACTGTTGAGACAAAGTCCCAAGACTGAGCCAGGAACTGTCCCGGGGTCTCCTCGTTATGATGGCTGTGGAAGGGTCAACCATTACCAGCCGGATCAAGAACCTTCTGCGATCCCCATCCATCAAACTACGCAGGAGTAAGGGAGGGAACCGGCGAGAGGACCTCAGCTCCAAGGTGAGTTCTAGAATTGGGAGTCACCATTTTCCAACACTCCCCTCTTCTGTTCCTTGTTCCTCTTTCACCTTCCTCTTTTTTTGGGAAAGGGGCGAACTAGAAGCTCCTGTGGGCTAAAGGGTGGGTCATGCCTATCTCTACCTTTCAAACAGGCTATGTTTTAGTGTCAGGTTAAGGGAAAAAGAACTGCAGAGGTGGACATGCTGAGATTTGTCTGTGAGAAGAGATGAATAGGAGTAGGGCATCCTGGGTTCAGCTGTGGCCTCATTTAGAAACTTAATCTGTGCTTGGGGAAGCCAGTTGCTATGCTATGACTCAGTTTCCCTTTTTGAAAGAGGGTTAGTGGACCATAAACCCTGTGAAGGGTTAACTATGACTAATGTAGCTGCAAGTGTGTGTCACAGCTGGGGTTATGTAAGACAGTAGTAGCAGAAAGAAAGATGTGAAAACACCTAGTCTTGAGAGTTTGACTTGCTTGGGGTCAAAACATTTATTTGTATCTTCAAGCGACCTGTGCTAATTAACTGGAGTGTTTTGGCTTCTTGGGAATGATTACATACAAGGAGTCAGCTACCTGCCAGCAAAACTGTTCTCTGGGTTTTCCCTTGACCATTCCTCAACTCATACTGTGTGCTGAAAGCCACATCCCAGCCTTCTGTAGAAGCTTCTCATAGGGAAGTCCATTTTCATCTCATCACTTGTTAGGAATATTGGGTCTTTACACTTCAACTTCACTGAACTGTACAACTTGAGAATATATTCTCTGCAGGAATCTAGGACTTTGTCCTCACAGGACAGATTAGATTTTGTTTCTTGTTGGCAGCCTGAAAACACAGTAGTAGCCTTGTGTGGTACAGGATTGCTACAGGGAGAGGCATTTGAGACAGCAGCATTTTATTACCCTGTCTGTACCTCTTCAGAGATGAGTAATGATTTAGAGTGCTAACGTACAACATGTCAAGATTCCTGGATCTCTGTCCCTTAGCAGAAACTTACTTGGACTTAGTCGGAAGGTGAGTAGCTTTCCTGTATAATTCCGCAAAGCTGTTGAATCAAAATTGACCATAAGGTTACATGGCAGTAGATAAAGTGACCCTTCCAAGGACTCTTAATTATTATTCATATTGTCCAGAGGTAGAATGACTCTGAAACTTAAAAGCTATCTTAGATTTGACTATGTTCACTCATTTGTGGTGTTGGATCATCCTTAGTACTATAAGTTCTTAAATTTCTTGGCTGGTAACTTGGCAAAAAGCAACACTATTAGAGAAATCTCATAATTTGATCTCTGTGTTGACCAACTATAGTATATTTAGTAGTTGGGAGTTTAGTCCTTAGTGTTAAAACTTAGGGTAATTTTGATCTGGAATTCAGAAGGTATGCTTACCATTCTTTAAAACTTCCCATGCCCCTCATTATTAAAACATTCAACAGATGTTGATCATGTGCCTATTATGTGTAGAATCAGTATGAATAAAATATTACCCTTGCCATCAAAGAGCTGTGGCTAGTCAGACATGTAAACAAATAATTCCAACATGGTGTGTTAAGTGCTGTCATAGAAGTATGTATAAAGGAGTTAATGACATAAGGAGGGAACCCAAACAATTTAGGGGAATTAGGAAAGACTTCTAGAAGAAGGGATGCTTGAACTATGAGGCAAGAGGAGAAGCTTTCCAGGAAAACAGTGGGAAAGAGCATCTCTGGCATCACCATTAAACATCCCTATTTCAAATAGGGAGTGCTTCAGACTGCTTTAAATGGCTTTTGTTTGTCCTACAGCTATTAATGAAGGAAATGCTTAGCTGAATTGAATGACTCTTGAAAAGTCAGCAAGAGTGCTGGGGCATATCTTTAGCACCCAAGTAGTAGGCTGTCTTTGTGTGCCTGGATCCTACTCAAGATGACTATAAAATCTTGCCTTGGGGTAACCCACTGGACCACCTAGGTGTGATGTGAGACTTCATGAAATAATATATAGTGTTCTGAATACACAGCTTTCAATTCATGGATAACTAATTCCAAACTAAAATTCGAAGATCAAAAGGCATATTTGCCTCTTTTGTGGGATAAAGGAAGAAGTAACAGTCTTCATGCAACTCTTACCTCTGATGGCCTGATGTTTTGAATCATACACCCTTCTTTCTGAAGTAGCCTTTTCATCAAATTTTCCATTTATTTTTAGATCCAACTTAACTGGAGCCACAGGGTGTTCTCTAATTAATTCCACTACCTTGGAACCAATCTCTAATTGCTCTTTTATGTATGTCTTGTGTTTTAGGGTCAGCGGTCATGTTCTTTTTTTTATTTTTAACATCACATTGCTTAAGTGTCAGGTGTACAGTAAATACTAAATGAATAATAAATGAGAACAATTTAAAGATACCAGGTATGGTTTCTCAGTTAGAATCCCAGAAGAGTGAGAAATGTTTAGGTATTTGTGACTTCTTGAGAAGAGTAATCAAAATTAGAAACAATAAAATGTTAAAAAGAAGTAGAGTTGCAGCCTGCTTAGGGACAGGGCTTAAGAGCAAATGAGGTCACGTGCAGAAGGAAGTGCTCATTAAAGGCTTCTTAATTCAGAAGAGACCTAGTTAAAAATATGGTTGCAAGCTGAAGTCAGACAGCCATTATGGATAGGGATTTAAATCATTAGAGAGTGGGCCTGTTCTGCTGCCCACTCTCTCTGGTGAGTTTTCTCCTGTACCTCTGCCCTACACCACAGTTCTTGTATGCATAAATAAATAAAAATAAATCTTTAAAAGCTAATAAATTATTAGAGAGTAGGTGAAAGCTAGGATTATTATTAAACTTTCTCTAAGGGAGGGAAGCCTACATGTAATAGAATTAGAAAAGAGTAATTTGAAGTTTTATGCTTGATCTGAATCTTGAGGAGATGCAACTTAAAGTTATCAGTTCAGCTTTAGGTCCTGTACAATTCATTTCTACCTGTCATCTCAGTTGACAGTTGACGCTGGGTTTTCCATAAAAAGCAAATGTGTGTGCTCTTGTTAGCTACCCCCTCCCTCCCCTTTTTTAAGTTTCTGAAAGATTTTTGTGCGGCAGGAGCTGGATTTTTTTCTCTTCTAACAAAGGACAGTAGAGGACTAAAGCTGAGGAGGCAAGATTTAAATAAAGGATACAAAAGGATTGCCTGTGCTGGAGGGTTGTTAGATTTTGAAAAAGTAAACAAGGGGGATTTTGAATCTTGCCTCAATTCATGATTATCTATTTTCTCGTCTAGAAACTATGGGTAAAGTGACCAGCAGCTTTGGTGTAGTTCTCAGTGTTTATGATTATAAGTCTGAATCCTTCTGTCTGTATTTTTTCCTGAAGATTTTCTCATGTTTGACAGTATGGTAGTCTTTATACCTTTAAATATGTGGCTCTAAGGACAGTTGAGTAGCTGAGTTTCATGAAGAGAAAAAAATGGTAGTAATCTAACTTCAGCCTTTGCTCATTATTTGAACCCAGATATTTGTATTGAAACACTTTAAATCTGCCTACTTGGTAGTGAGGAAGCTCATTTTCAAATTGTATATGAGTTGTTGATTCTAATCTGGTGGCTCTCAACTTGGGAGAGGGATGAGGATAGAAATCTGTGCAATATTTATACAATATACATTCCTGGGTCCTGCCCTAGCTATTTGGAGCCAGCACCTCTGGGGGCTGGTGATGGTGGTGGTTAGTGTTTGATTAAGTTCCACAGAGCCCACTGCTGGGTTTCAAAGTTCTGTGTTAGATGCTATGGACCCTGAAATCTATAGTCATCATACCCAAGCACTCATTGAAGTTTCTTGAGAGTACATACATCTGACCACCATCCTGTTTTCTTTTCACAGTTTTTAAACTTTTCTGATTGATTGCTCTTTAAACTGCTATGTCATGGATAGATTTGAGAGACCTGCATACACTGCTGTCGGCTCAGGTATTAGGATTCCACCATTGCTTTAGTAAAACAGATCAGCAGGAATTTCCTCTGTGGCCAGGAATAGGAAACTTCATGATAATATTCCTGAGTCTGATCTTCTACATCACCGGTCCATTACCCACCTCCCAAGGGGCTCGTGAGAACCAATAGTTTTTGTGTTTAATAAACACTCTCTGGCCTCTCCATAGAGAATGGATGACCAAGAGTCCATGCCTCTGTGACCAGCAGCTCTACACCCTTGCACCCCTCTTGCCCTTGTGAGTGAACCTGGGTCAGTTCTTACTGAGTTTTCCATCTCACAGATTCTTCAGTTATGGTTGTGAAAGTGTCTTGAGATCCTTAAAACAGGAGGTGTACAATGTAACATGTGAGGTGTTCTCCTGGGTTAATTTCTTTGATGTGTTTCACCCTTCCTTTGCCTTCCACCTTCAAAGTGATTCTCACGGAAGAGAGAGGATTCTTCTCTCCCATCTTCCTGTCTCCCAGCCAACACCTCTCCCTTTGCTCTCTAAAATAACCCTGCTTCTTCGGGCTGAAGTTATCTTGCAAAGCCTGCTGGAATCTCCTTAGCCTCACTCACTTCATAGTCCAGCAGCACCACTGCTTTTAAGCTCTCTTTCCTCTTTCAGCTTGCAGTTTAGGCAAGGTTCCCCTGTTGCATCGATTTGAGTCACTGTCTTATTTCCTGCTGGTATTTTGAATATTTGGGGCACATTGTTATTTCTCTTGCTTCATTTTTTTTCCTTCCGTTTGTCTTCTGTGTGTTTTCATTTCTTGTCTAGTGAAAAAACATAGGAAAGAATGAGACGTCAGTCTAACCTTTGTAAATTTGCTGTCAAGCCCAGTCTCATGTTGTGCTTATAGCTATCAGGGTCCCTTTGTCTGGAAAACAAGTCTAGAACTTACTTGGAACAATACTTATTCACAGTAAGCTTCTCTGGGAACAGAGTCTGCCCCACTGTTGTAGGAGTATCTGTTGGTTTTTTAACTTTATGTTCAGACTGCCCTGTTGATAGTGGAAAAAAGCTCCAATGTTTTCAATAGGATTTATTGCAATACTCAACTTCCC